ATAATCTGTTCTTATGCTATTTGGATGTCATGGCTATATCGACTAAGCCCTTGAAAATTCTGTTTGTTGGAAATAGATGTGAGAGAAAGATATTTTTAAAATATCAATGGCAAGACTTCATTTTATCTAATATAAAGAGAAAAAAACAGACCGTTCATTTTAAACCTTTGGTAACTGGAAGCTTGCAAGGATATTACTGCTTAAAAAAAACCTTGACAACCCAACATGTAGGGATTTAGTAGGTAACTCCATTAACTCTAATGGGAGCAGTTCAGCTAATCTCTGACATTGCAACTAGACTGCTGACAAGCTTAGCTGCTCTTTCAGGGGAGGGAATTGTGGCAACTGAAAAGGTGATAGTCACATAGTGAAAGATGGTGTCTGAAGAAGAGTTAGACAGGAGTTTTTCATTAGCATTCAAGAGCTCTTGCTGTTCATTAGACAGCTTGCTGTAAAGACTGTGCGAGACTTTTCACTCAGTATCTTTTCATAAGAAATGTATGTATCATATAGAATCGCATTTTATGTGTTTCCTCGTGGAGTTTCTGCACAAAAGCAAAATACAGGCAGTTTGGATTTTTTTGTTAAAGAATTAATTTTGTCCTATGTTTTAGGTCCTGAGCTGCCCTGGTGACAGCGTTCATGCATAGGAGGCTGCACTAGACCTCAATGAAAACACAGGTTGAACTTTTCAGGGCCAGGTTCACTTTCCTGATGCACTTGCACTATACTTTGTGTTCCTGGTGTTTCGCTCCATAGTGGCATCACTCTGACACACGGTAGGGTTAGTCCTTGCTTGTAAAACATTCCATTAAAAAACAGAAATGTTTTCTAGTTACACGAGTAATGTTTGGGAGGGCCAAAGTTGAGACACTCATCTCAGCTGTGCAATTAATTACTAGATTGCTCAAGACAGCAACAGAATAAGCAGCTGACCATACAGAAATGTTGTGTCCTGGTCACCGATGTCCAGTCTACGCAGGACTACAGCTCTCCTGCCTTTTGTTCTGACCTCAGAAAGGCTGCTGTAGAATATAGGTGGTCAAAGCAGGAAACACTTAGAATACAGAAATCAAACGTCAGTCCTTCAAAATAAGGACATACAGAATTGATTGACTTCTGGTCCCTCTTTAAACTACAGCTAAAATACTTGCCCAATTGAAAACGCATTATAGATGTATGATAGAAGATACCAAGTAGATAAAAAGCAGATACTAAGCGGTTATGATTTGAAGCCATGGGCTTTTGCCATGACTCGCCCATGTGCATTGATCATCATCAGTAGTCTCCTGCTTGCCCTTTCTATGCAGCTCAAATAAAGAATCTGAATTAACAACTGTCGCTGGAAGAGTGTCTTGTGTGGCCAAAGGAATGAGTGCATCTTCAAGGTAACAACCAAGAGCACCCAGGTATATAAAAGATAAAACGAAGCTAGATACAGCCTTTTCTAATTCAGAAGCATTTTGTTCCGTTACTTACTGTGCAAAAGGAGTAAGGGCATCCCATGTTTGCTCAGGATTACGTGGCGTCATAGATTTACACAGTTTCTGTGAGAATTACGAAACACAGAAGTGTTTCTTCTGCTCCTGCTGTTTTGAAGTTAATTTTGAAGTGTACCAAACTTTGTTCCTGTCTGAAGTGTTCTTTGATAATAGCAAAATGAAAAATACTATTTCTGAACTTTATGTGTATGTCTCTATAACATCATATTGCTTATAAACAACCATGACCTTTTTATTCTTTTGAAAGTGTTCTTAGCTAACGAGAGGCATTTGTTGTTACCAGTCTCATCTCCTGTGCAAACAAGATTATTCTGATGGGATTCTGTTTGGTTGATGCTTTTAAGGAATGAGTGTGTAGGAATAGACAAGAGAAATGAAACTGAGAATTAGTTATTTTTTAAGAGTTACATTCAGGATAGCATTTCTTCTGGAAGAACCAATTAAAATAAGAAATGAGGTTTTTTCCACTCGCTTTCTTCCTTTTGTTCCTTCATCACATTCTTCCTTTTAAAGTGGCAGTTATAATTATAGGGGTGTATATGTAGTCAATATGGAAACTTTCACCAGAATGGTGTTCCAGCATCAGAGGGAATGTAGAAAATGGGACTTTAAAGATTGTCTTGTGCTAATTTTATTATACTTTCATTTTGTTCCAGATACTATTTGGGGTACATTGCTTGAAGGTTATAAAATCATTACATCTTTAATCTAAAATTATGATTATCTAGGATGGAATAATAGGAAATTATTCTGTCTCGGTAGAATTACATGAATGCATGGATTGCTGTTTAATTAAAAAAAAAATGTGTCAAAGATGCTACAGTTTGTGTAAGGTTATACTATACTTTTGGTGTTTAGGATAAGTAAAAGACATACACTGCATATGTCTTTTTACGCCTACTCTTTATGGGGCAATAATAAGCCTTTATGTAGACACAGATTACTGCCCTCCACCACTAGTCATATCTAAGCTTTTATTTTAATTTCTTCTACCATTGTCTTTACCACTGCATTTAAACGTGGAGCTGCACTGTGATGTTCCATTTGTTTTTTAATTGACTTTATTATCTGTTGTGTAGGACTTAATCAGTTCTATTGGATGTTATCTGCAGGTGCGTACAGTAAGGGCATATTACATTGATTTTTCATTTTTCACATCAAACCAACTGCATACATAGAGTTGTTGCTGCGTTTGCTATTGACAACAGGGTTATTTACAGGCACTCAGTCAAAATGTAACGTATATCAGGACAATTACAAACTCCACAGTATAGATTTATTAGACAGAAAATAAGAAAATAGTAACTTGTGGCAGCTGACTATCCAAGATGAAGGATTCAGGGGCCATGGAGAGCTTGGGAAAAGCTTTCAGCATCAGTGTAAGAGTTCTTCAGCTGAAGGTGAACGTCTGCCAAGAAACTCTGGTGGGGAGTGAAGTACGATGGTGCCTCCCTATTATGACTATTCTTATGCAAACGAGTATTCGATTTTGTCACACTGCAGGTCAACGTATTATCATACATGTTGAAAATTGTATAGAACCTGTAAAAGCAGTTACATTCCAAAGATAGGGGGCTTTGGAGGTAGGTGAAGAAAATGTATATGCATACTAATTGTAATTTAAAATTCAGTAGTGCATTTTCACTGCCTGCATAGTTCTGGTAATTCATCTTGACTGTGAGGAACTATAAAAGAGGTAAACTTGGAATGGCAGATGCAATGTATAGACAATCCTAATATCATTCAATGGAATGGCAGATGCAATGTATAGACAATCCTGCCATCAATCCTACCATCAATAATCCTGCCATCATTGACTGTATTTGTGTCCTGTAGAGCACTGTGTCACAGAGCCTTATACCTGTATTTTCACTTCAGAAGTTGCGGATTCAATTGGCACTTGCCCATCTGAACAGAGCATTAGGGGGACATGAGCTTTTGCCTACACTTTGGAAGTGTCTAAATGTAATATAACCAGTTTTAAATAACCTATTTTAAGTTGTGTTTCCTAGTTGCTCTTCACCCAGAGAGCAGTATTCTACACAGAATGGGTAATTTTTTCTCTTGGGGTAATTGTTTATCAAGGTTTCCAAGGTAATTGTAGAAATCTTAGATTCTCTCTGCAGAGTCATTTCTGCTGCCGTGGTCTACACAGAGAGTTAGGTATTATCAGTTTCGATTTTTTTTTTTTTTTTTGCCTCTGTATGGTAGAGGTTAATAAAAATCTACAGCCCAATTTTGCACCCATTTTTTTTCTGTTGTTGAACAGAGAGTGGATTGATTAGACTCACACAACCATTTGGGAGGGTAGCTGTGTTCTGACTGAAGAAAAGGGCTGTAATCAAGCAGGCTGTCAGTAGACACTAAAGAACTGCTGCAAACAATCCTGTATGTGTGTCAGATTTTCTTTTTAGGCCGAGCTCTGTTCTTTTAAACCATGAATAACTTCTCTTGCTTTAAGTTCTTATCAAACTGTGGAAACATTTGGAATGGATTAAAAGCCAGGTTTTATCTAAAAATCAACTGTTTCAATCGACTACAATATGGAAGAAAATAATTTTGGGAATGTGCAAAGACTTGCTTGGCTTGATGAGGAATCCAGCAAGGGTTTTTTCTTCTTTGAGATGTTTTGGATACCAAACAATCCTGTATGTGTGTCAGATTTTCTTTTTAGGCCGAGCTCTGTTCTTTTAAACCATGAATAACTTCTCTTGCTTTAAGTTCTTATCAAACTGTGGAAACATTTGGAATGGATTAAAAGCCAGGTTTTATCTAAAAATCAACTGTTTCAATCGACTACAATAAGGAAGAAAATAATTTTGGGAATGTGCAAAGACTTGCTTGGCTTGATGAGGAATCCAGCAAGGGTTTTTCCTTCTTTGAGATGTTTTGGATACCAGTGAATTTCCTTAGAAGGCAGTGAGTGTTGCCTGTGAATCTATGAGAGTGACTTTCCTTTGTCTTTGAAAACACATCTCTGCAGCCGGATACAGTCTGGCCCATGCACTGAATGGCTGGCATGCTCTAAGTGGGCTTTACCTTGCATCATTTAGAGATGCACTATTTCTATCCAGTCTCTTTGTAGGAGTGCTGAAAAAGAAATCTGTTTTAAGCTCCATTCAGTAAGATAGATCGATGTTGGAGAGATCTCCCTGTCATAGAGAAGCTGCTAGTCTCTGCTCGCTTTATACCCTTGAACAGTGTTAAGTATTGGGTTGCATCAGTATAATGCATTGCTCTTTCTGAAAAAAAAAGCAGTGCATTTCATTGCTTAAATGGAATTTGAATAACACTGTTGAAATCAATAGTAGTTTCTTATCCATATAAAGATAATTGATCTTTTTGAGGCTCTTTAAATACAATGAGTATTTGATTGTGTTTCCTTCCATTGTTCAGCTTAACACATTAACACAGTAAAATTAAATGTTGCTTGTAAAATGACTGTGACATTCAGTGGTTTTCACTTTTACAACACTTCTTTGTTGTCTGTTTTAGCAGATTAGCTGTAAATGAAGATAAGAGCTGCTGCTTTGAAATGGGCAACGGAGCAAGCACATTCCTTTGCAGTACACAGGAATCAGTCACTTCTGTGGTCTCTGGTCATCCTACAGGGTGCGCTTCCCACTCCAGCATTATTGTTTTTCTGATTTCCTAATGTTAGTCAGGTATCAGTCCCTCTGTGTCTATCTGAAATGTAAAGTTTGGGACTGGAGATGCAGAGTGTCTTTTATATTTCAAAAACACCCCTTCAATACACCTTAATCCTGCATTGACCCAGAAATGTACAGTTCGCTGCGTAAGGATGTTAGAAGCATGAAGCAGAAGTAACCTGGGAGATGGGTGAGAGCACAGGTTTTCAGACTCTCTTTTCGCTATGAAAATAAAGAAACAGCTTCAGCCAGTGTGTGATGGGTGATGTCCTCTTCCCACTCATGTCATTGGGTGCAGAGAAGTACAGAACAAAGATCTGCTTTGTAACATTGCTAAGAGGCAGCTCTTCTTATATATCCCATTTCTTTTTGTATTCAAGGTGTTCTACAGATTTTTAACTGTTAAGACTGTTAAGAGACAATCCCGCATCTTATTTTTTAAGGTCTGAATTTTCATTTCATTTCTATTTGTGTATACTGAACATCAGAATTTGTGGTTGTGTGTTTGTCAGAGCAGAGGGTAAAGATCTTTGAAATTTTCACAGAGGATCACCTCCCATAAACATTAACAGTTTCCCGAAAGAGTGCTATTTATTTCGATTAATTGCCATCAGTTAACTATCACGTCAAACTTTTTACTTTGCTTTTGCTCTCCATTTATTTCAATCACTTAGTTGGTCATTAAACAAAACCTACTGTGATCAGAAGTGGAGCCCGATCAGTCTGCACTACAACCACTCTGTATTTAGTATCACTTTTCATGTTTGAAAAATTATACAGTCTTTACACTAAAAGGGTGAAAATGTTAAATATGTGTTACAGTCTGGAATGGAAGGAGAAAGCAAGTCTTTTCTATGCCATGCACGCTGAAACTTTTATCCAAAGATTTTCTATTTTTATCTAGTACTAATAAATTTTACATTACCTTTCATCCCACTGCAGGTGACAAAATTTATCACGCACACTCTGACGGGAGCCTATGGCTGATAAAGTGGTCTTGTTACTGAACTGATGAGAGCTGGTCATCTCTGCCTTGCACGTGTTCTGTCAGGTAAGTCATCCCATTACTAGCTGGCCTGTCAAAATACTGCCCTATTGCCTTTTAGCACAACCAGCATAGCAGCAAGTAATTTATGCATAGAAGACGACAGAATTTCAGAACTTCCTGCAACATATATTTGCTGAAGTGCAAAAGGAGCTGAAATTATTTTATTTTCAGTAGCCCAGTGGAGGAGTGATGGCACAGCTCTGTCATCCCAAGTCTGATTAGTTAGTGAGGCTGGACGTGTGTTTGCAGTAGGTGTGTGTGCACACACCCCCTCCCCAAGCTGCTCAACACAGACAGAAACATTCAGCACTCGTCCAGAGACAAATAGGATCAAAAGCCTCATCTTGCTGCTTTCCCTGGCTGATCAGGCTGAAAGTCTGTCAGTGGAATTTGAACATTATATATACATCTATATATATACAATGAGCATCTCTCCAGTCGCCGGCCTTTGCCTGGGTCCTCAGTCTCCCCAGCTGCTGCCACCTGGGCGTATGAGCCCCCAGGGCCCACAGCCCTGCTCCAGTTGCTGGTCAAGGGCCAACTGGTCATCAGGGAAAGGCTCCCGTACAACTGAGCAAGCTCCAAGCTCTCTGCCTGTACAAGAGAGCTCCAGGCTGGCCGGGGCAAGTTCAAACGAAGCCTGAGAAGTCTCGTTCCTCAGGTCTTGCAAATTCAGCGCAAGCCTGTGGCTTGTGACAAGCAATGGCAATACTGCCTTACTGGGCTGCAGTGTGGACAGGCAAGGTAAGCTGAGCAAGGGATCTCGGGATTATCAAATAATACCTGTTCTGTTGCCAGTGGAACATTTTGCTCGGAAGCATACTGTTCAGCTCACTGATTTTGGTTAAGCAGTCAAACGGGTACTGAATTCGGCAGGGTAATTTGACAACAGATTTCATTAAAACCATATGCCAGGCTGTGCATTGCAGACTTGCTCGCTAAGGTAGCACATTTATAATAGTGTGGTTCAGCAGTGTGGATTATTTGGTCTTTAGAAGTAACTAGAAATCAGCCAGTCCTATTGCAGCTCTTTTTTTAAGCTTACATTGCAAATCCAGTGTGACCTACGCAAAACAGTTTGCTGGATGATCATGATGATGAGCTTTGCTATAAACAGGAAAAAGCAGTGGTTCTGAGGGTTTTTGTAATGTTTATCAGTAGGAAAACAGAAGTGGCAATTGCTTTTAATTGCCCAATAATTTTATTATTCAAAAGATGGAATTTACAGGAAGCAGCTGCAGTTGTAACTGAACCGGCTCTTTTAATGTGTTCCTGTTTTTTTCCTGTATTATATTATCTAATGGCGATAAGCTGCCGGCTTCAGTCAAATTTTCGAATACAGTAAGAGTTGGATTTATCAAGCCCTGGGATGAATACTGCAGTACTCTCACTGAAAGAGACCTTTGTGAATTTGATGGTCCTGAATTGTCTATAGAAATCCCATTCCTTAAATTACATCCACTTTCATTCTTTGTTCTCCCAGTACACAAGAATTTTAAGATTCATAACCTATTTCTGTTGAGTTTTTCTCCCTTTGTAGTTTTTCCACCCGTCTCTATTCTGTTATTCAGTGAGTAAGAAAATGCAGCCCCACAATGAACATGCACTCTGAATTAATTGCCTGTTCTCTGTAAATATAAATAAATGACAGCAAGATCAAAATGAAAAGCAAAAAGGGAAGGGCTAGCTCCTGTCACAACTGTAGTGTTAGTGTTCCTACTTTTAAAAGCTGTTTTAAAAGGTACTGTAGTTCCTGTACTGCTGAACAATGCCCAATGTCAGTGACGCTGCTCTTCACGTGGCAAGGTCCCACCCCACAGAGCTGTCCCCGAGACTCACACTGAACCTAAAGCAGACGTATCCTTTCCTTTAGGCATCAAATCATGTTTGAAGGACTGTGAACAGCTATTTAACTAATTTGACTAGCAGAATATAACTGGCTCATCACAGATGACCAAAATTGTCAGTAGACCACAAATTCCCCTCAGCATTGTGTTGAATGTAATTTGGCCTGCTCAGCAGCAAAGAAACGAGGTGCCAGTTAAGGTGTGTCTTCATAATTCTTTCCCAATATGACAGTTTTTGTCCAATGCTGTGCAAATGGAAATGCTCCCTGTGTGCTCAGGGGTGACTATTTGCAAGAGAAGCAGAATTTGGTGGAGCTGTCTTGTTCATTGCAGGCTAAATGCTTCTGCTACCATGCTTTTCAGGGAACGTTGGGCATAATCCTGATGGCCATAATCCATTGCTGGCCTTGTCTTGGTGAAAATCCCATTTGGTATGGTCTTAGTTCCAAGCTGGCAACAGAGTATGGAAAACAGCAGCGTGGCCTGTTGCAGACTGAGCATATAATAAATATGGAGCTCAAACATAAAAGATAGGAAAATGAATGTTTTAATTTGCTTATCCTCAGATAGTTATGTATTTATTTAAAAATAATGGGGTTCATAGTTTACAGACCTTAAGATTTTGTGTGATGGTATGTCCATGGAATGTGAGGAAGGTAATGATTAGCATCATGTGCCACATTCTTCAACCGACTTACCTAAGTTCCACATTAATATTGAATAGGACTCCAGAGAGACACGGCGATGCTTTTTGTTAATCTGGACAGACGGTTATAAGACACTGTTGTAATTAATTTTCTCTTTTCATTTGAATGGTGGAATTAAACAAATATTTTCATTTGGAGAAAAGTAACAATTTGATGTTAATTGCTTCTATCTGTTTCTCAGCATTGTCAAATAACCTATTGTAAACGCTACTTAATATTTCCAGGGGAATGCCATATATTGCATAACTTATTTCCTTTGCTGGTTATTTCATTTGATGGTTAAACGGTAATTGGAATGAAAGGAATAAAGAAGCACTTGTGGGCTGGGAACCACTCAAGGGATTGAGAATCTAAAGCAGAACAATGATTTAACATTTTTTCTTTTGTTAGGCTTTTTCTTTTCATATGTGAATTACATGCAAGTAAGAGAGATTATAGGGAGAAAAATTAAGGGAGAATGCAGAACTCATTTAGATCAAACTCCCTGTGCCTAATAAGCAGACAGAAAATCTACAAACTGTCTAATCTCTTAGCCTTCTTAGATGTTGTAGAATTCACAAATCATTCAGAGAAAGGAAATTAGCCTATTAAAAATGAGAAAACACAAAAACACAGCTTCAGCATCATACCAAGAGATATGTGGCTTCTAGTTACTGTGGAAGGGGCAATCAATAGAAAAAGCAGGAAAGGAAAGAAAGAACATCCGCAGCAGAGATTTCCCGGAATGAAAAATGTGCTTGGATTGTTACTTTATTGATATTTTCTACTCTAGGACATATTAAAGGACAAATCAACTCTCAAGCATCTATCCAAAATATGCATGTGAAAAATGGCTACGAATATATGTTCATTTTCAAATATCCGGTGTCAGGAGAACTTAAAGGCTACGTCATAGAATGCAGTAGAGCTGATTACTTACAAATACACATGTATGTGTATGTCTCTTGTTAGAAGGTGTGGCTGTGCAGTAGGCAGGGAAGTCTTGTTTATCTTGTCCAAGCTGCTGGGTTTTGAGTCAAGGAAGGTATGCTCAGGGGAGGAACTGGTTCTTTTTTGAAAGCAGCTAGCCATATTCATCTTGAAGAATTTTCCTGGAGTACAGGATAGAATTAGCAGAGAGACACAGAGTAAATTGTATTTAGGAATTGGGCATCCTAACTGTAACACCCCTGTGAGGATCAGGGTTGTCTCACCTCAAGGCTCTGGGGATCTTGGAACCTACAGAGAGTTTCTGAGCCAGCAGATAGAGAGCTATTAAATTTTGCTAATTTTGCATCTTTCTAACCAATGAAAGATGTGATGAGTTTTCTTTGTCCACCTTTACTCTTAGTCAGTATGGATTTGAGCAGTACCTGATTATAGTTCTTATTTCTGACTGCCTCGTCCATATCGCTGGAAGCAGATGCTTTTCTTGGGTAGTTGGTTCCTCAGACTAAGTGTTTCAAGCCCTGGAGCTATTGCCAGGGCTGAGCTGGGGGTGTGTGTTTTGGTTTTGTCAAATTTCACCTCATTCTCAGGACTGACAACTTCTTGCATATTATCTTCAAGGGCAACATGACAAGATGACCATGAATACGGGCCTAGCAAAGGAAGCTCTTCAATACAGAGAACATGCCAGTTCACGATGGAATGTGCTTGGAAAAATGTTCTTCACAAAACTAATCTTGCTGCTTTTGTTAGCATTCTTACAGCAGACCTATCGGGGTTTTTAACCTGATCTTGCATGGTCTCACAGAAGAAGAGCAGTCAGCATTCTTTCTTTATAAAGTTCTGCTTTATTAAAAGGTAAAGGAAAACAATCCCTACTCTTACCCATTAAAAAGCAGCAGAAGAAGCAGTTCTAACTGGCCTGTTTTATTTAATGGGATTAGCTGAAGGAGCTGTTGATTGCACCCCTCCCCAGTCTTGTAGCACCAGCTTTGTTTCTGTACAGATTTGTCTTTAGTTAATAGTTCTATAAAACCTACCTATGTATGGGAAATAGCCAGCTCTGGTGACTCTCAGTGGCATTGTCACAAATCTTCCGCCATAATCTTGCCCATGTGTCAACTTCTGTCCTAGCAAATGACTAGACTAATTCACAAAATGTACCTAAGGATCACACTGCTGTTCAGAATATGGAGTTAGAGTTTTTGAAATGTAACAGGATTCACAAAACACTGGGGTCCACAGTTTGATATGCAAATATGTGTCTGGTAGGCTGGGATTCCATTTTTCTTCTTTGATATGGAAAGTTGCTTTTAGCTTAAATGATACTATTTATTTACTCGAAATACCCCAATTTCTGAATGCCTAAGTGGATCACAGACAGGCATTTTTTTTTCAGTGAAATGGAAGGAGGCATACCTTGAACTGGGTATTACTGGCCTGCATGCAAATCTCCAAGTTATTCTTGGCTTTTTTATGTGAGGACTAAGAAAAATTAGATATGTTGGAGCATTTTTTCTCTTTCATTAAAAAAAGTATAGGTTCAAATATTATTAAGGAATTTAGTTAAGTATATTCAGTTGAAATGTTGCTTTTTTTCCCTTTCGTATTTACCTTTTAATTAGATATAAGAAACATACGTATTTAATCTTACCTTATTTTAGTAAGAGTATTTTCCTGATAATTTTTCTATGATAATTTATGACCACTTTCTCCACTTTAAAGCCTGTAAGTCCATCAGGTATTTAGAATACTTAACTTGTTTTTTCTGCCTTTTGTGTCCTAGTAAGGTAACTAAATACCTAGCAGATGTGCATTTGCACCTTAAGTTGAATATGGATACAGAGCCAGAAAAGTAAGAGCCAGGAACATAACCCTCTGTGCTTGGATTTCACTTGCTCACGCAGTGAACTCATGTAGCTTTCATTGCCTGCTTGTACTTTTCAGTCTCACAGTTGTTATTTCATTAGCAAAGGTTTTTTTCCTTCAAAGTTTTACTGAGCTCTGTGTGGTTTTTTTACAAATTATTATATAGACTGCTGTACCTCTTACAAATAAATACTCGAGTCTAAAAATATAGGTTAGCAATTAAAGAATTAAAAGTGTGGTTTACAGTTTCCTTTTAAGTCTTTATCGCAGTATGTCTGAAAGCTTTTTTGTACTACAGCCAAATTTGGAATAGCTCAATCGCCCATTATACGTAACAAGTAAGAAATCTGAAAATGGAAAAACTCCGAATAGATTGCAGTAGGTCAGACTAGTTGTACCTGGAACCATTATGCAGATAACTGTGTGGCCACCACTTCCTCATCTCAGAGCAAACAGAGACTTGGTCAGAACTTCTTTCTGAAGCAGGAGGAAGGGTGAGGAAAAGATTGACAAAATTTGGTATATGAAGTTCTGTGCCCTTGGAAATTAATAGCTTATTGCTTTCCAGTATTTTCCAAAATAATTGTAATTGGTGTTTGGAACTGTAATTTCTCTGTCCAATAGATTAGGACACTGCTGGTCTTTGATACAAGGTTAGCCTTACCCTCAGAACTGGTGATGCGGTGCCAAAGGAACAGATCATTAGGTAGAAGCAGTAGGTACTGAGGCCTCTACAGCACCTCTCAATGCAGTGTGGGGCCCCGCTGCGTTGCAGTGGCACAACAGCCCCGTCTGCTGTGCTGTGACAGACCCCTTACTGATGCGGATCCTTATGTTCCCGCAGAGCCCGTGCATTGGGGAGTTCGAGTTTAGCTTCCTTTGGAAGTTTGTATGTAGCAAAATCACTGTTTGACCTGACCTAACAATACAATAATTACACAACAATAGCGCTCCCAAACTAGTTATAAGTATAGACGCAGTTGTATCCTCATTGGTATTCTGTTTAACTGTGAGCATGGACAGGGGAGACTGAATTTATATAGGATGCAACATCCTCTTTCTTTCCCAGCAAACTATTGGAAAGTTGCCTACTTTTGTTTGATGAGAGGAGTCCGTTTGGGTTTATGTCCTTCTTTAGGTGGGGCTGAGCCTTTTTTTTTTTTTTTTTAATTTTTCCAAAGATTTGAAACTTAATTGGATGTGGGTGAATTTCCAGGGGGGCTATAGAAACAGTTTGGTTTGTGAAATAATTGGTTCTTTTCTGCTTTGGTGTTTTATTTGCCTTGGTGGGATGGGACTGTGTTCTTGTTTTGACATTTTGCAACTAAGTAATCAATACATAATTAAAAACCTGTAAAATTGGAAGATTCCCAGCTCTAGCAATAGGTATTGTGCCCTAATGGAATGTGCCCAATTAAGTAGTCATTTGACTACTTAATGACTGTGGTGGAAAATGAATGATGGAAATATACTTGAGCCTTTGTAACTACAACATCTAAAAGTTGGATTATATTAAAATACCCTTTACTTTGCAATAAGACTACTGTAGCCACGCACTTGAAATATTATTTTATAGTCTTTTGTACAGATATTTCTTGAGCTGCTTTATCTATTCATTTAAGGATAACATGAGCACGAATTTGGGCTGCTGTACCTGGAGGCAGGAGCAAGAACTTGGATTCAGAATTGACCGGGCAGGAAGCAAGAGAGGAGGAGTTGCCTTTGATGGGAGCAGAAATCAAGATGGGCAGTGGTTCAGACAGGAGCTACAGCAAAGGCAGGCAGTGAATACTGACTGTTTGGCCTCGGGGCCCCTCTGTACAACAAAGCTTCCCCTGCAGGAGACCATCTGACTCGTTCTCTGAACACAACTCTATGCTGATGACTGCACATCATTAAAGGTAGTAATATAGAAATATATGACCTGTCATCGATAAGGCATTATGTGACTAGTGCAGGAGGAATTCTTCGCATTGGAAGCAGAAAGCTCTTTTAAAAAATAAATGCTTAAGAAATTGTGTTACTTAACAGAAGGATAGTTGTGTGCTTCAAAGTAGGATAATGGCAACATTGGACATGGTTTGAGTCTAATCGTGAATGAGAGCAACCACAACGTGTACAGGAGTTTGTGTGAGGAATCAGCAGGGGTGAAAATACAGAGACCTTGGGTCTTTTAGCTTTTTTCAAATACACTTGTGCGGTCATCACACCTATTGCTAACTAGGGTAGTAAAAGCAGAGAACAGTAATAGGAACGCAATCTTACCCACTTAATCAAAGGAGAAAGTAAACTAGCATATCCTTTCAAACAGTAATACATCTAAATTTAAGGTGCTGGAAGATGCTCAGCAGCAGGGAGGGATTCTCAGTCTGTTGCAACACAGGTAAGTACCTGCCCAGAGGGCGTGTGGTGCAGGAACTGACAGGAGAGGGGCATTCTCTGGAGGAGAGAGTGGCTGAAGCAGAGCCAGAGGACATGAGAAGCTCTTTACAGGGATGTTGTTGCTGTGGAGATACTGTATGTGATGAATTTGTATCTTCTAATAGTAAAAGACTCTCATGCAAGTCAAATTTAGGTGCGTCCAGTTACAGTCCTCTTTGAGACAGAGATGGCAGTTCCCTTTGCAATCCAGAATATTTACTTGCCCTCTTTGGGTGGTGGCTGCCCCATTTGCAGGGTTTGCACAAGAGCTGCATTTGTGCCCTCCTTTGCATTATGAGACTGGAAGAAAGATTTGGGTACAGATTCTGAAACAGGTGATTACACTGGCAGTGTGAGAACGGGCTGAAGTTGAAGAACAGGAGTAGTGCCTGAAATCCAATAGCTTTGCCAGGCATGTGTTGGAAACTGAATTTTGACTTTATAAGCTCAATTTGTTTTGAGATAAAAGTCTTTCAATGTTCTGTTAAGAAAGCTGGCCCACCAAAATCTCACTGTCAAAGTCCTTCCCCTCCCCTACAAAGAGCTTGCGATAAATGTTTTAAGTAAAGGGTTTCAAATGATTTTTGCAAAGTCTCATAAATGTTCCATATGTCACTTTCTCTAAAATTATAATCTATTATCTCACTCAAGTGGAATAATAATGCATTGAAAAAACTAAATTTATCCCAGGTGCCCCAGCAGGTTGATTCTTCATTATGTGTTAATCGTTAATGGCAATTTTCCATGGAGCATCTGCCAGTTCTAGTGAGCAGAGCTTCCAGAAATGATATTTTAATTTTAAGCATAGACACTAGGAGAAGATAGAGTGGGTTTTTTCAATCAATACTTACTTTATGTGTATGTGTGCATGGGTATAAACTAGCTGGGCATAGATATTATTTCAAGAAACAGTACAAAGTATTTTGATTTGTAGAACCTAATTAAAAATTATTCTTGTGCTGTTCTAACTTGGTGGAATGCTTTTATTCCTAATGCACTCATTCTTCACTACACTATTGGTAAGGTGAAGACATTTATCAGCTGAGATCTTAATGCTAGTGTTTTTATATACATGTATACACGTATTGGTTCTATAGTAATACTACGCAGATTTAAAATTTAGGATTAAGTTCCAGTGGTGCTGAGGAATTTCACTGTGCCACTTTGCTACAAGGTGATATAAGTCAGTATTTCAGTTCTTGTTTCAAGGTAAAACAACTGATGAAAAAATATTTAAGTAGGATAAAAATTAAAGTTGTCTTCTTTGAGTTGTGCTATCCAGCATCATCTACAGCAGAGGTGTAAATGAATTTGGTTAAGGTGACTGCATGTAGGTCTTCTCTTTGTCCCATGAATTTAAATTGGCAATTACAGTATGTTTTATAAATGCATAAATGGATATTAGTAAGTTATAATTTTTTGAGAACATAAAAATAATTGAGTTTTAATACATTTCAGAGTACTTTTGGATCTGTGTTTGGACTATATATATAAATTGTGACCTATTGAAGTTCTTCATGCACATCTGTGTGTGTCTCTGGCTGTGTTTTCATTCCACCTCATTTAGGAAGATGTGTGTGGGGTGGTAGGAAGCAGCCATTCGGTCTGTCCTGATTCCTGACCTGTAGAGTTATGTCACAGCAAAAAATCCCAGCAGGTGGAGGCAGAATCTCCCTGAGTGTCTCAGCATGCCCTCTGCTTTCCTTGGGATGAAAGCTCATGCCACACTGCTATGTATCTGAGTGTTGTTTCCATAGCAAAAAAGTATATTCCAAGAACATGAGAGTAAAAAATATATCTTATTTTCATTATATTATTAAAAAATGCTATACTTGTATTGAACAATTACATTATAGCAAATAGATTTACCATGCATACTAAAACATGCATACAAAATAAAAAACCAGTTTCTTAAAATGTTTTTTATATGTCCAACCAGTTACCTCGGTAAGGAACAAAGGAACAGTGGGTTCAGGATTATAATTCCAGTATTATGCTAACTAATTTCCAAATACATGGAAACAAAGACATTATTTTCCTGATTGTCTTCAGTCCAAACAGGCAAAGCAAATAGCAGAAGGGAAATATGGATCTAAGAGAGACGGAGAGCACCATGGCATGACCAGTTGGATTGATGAGAGACATCGAGCCAGTGGTTACAGTCTACAGGTAAGGCTCAGTTGATTTTTATTTTTTTTTCTCCACCTTTGAAAGTTGAGTCATGGACTAGGTAAAGGCAAGGGCACCCATAAATGAAGAGTTAAAGTGCTAGCACTGAACAGAGTTAACAGCCGGTCGGGATTTGAGGAAGTGTGAATAAGCAGTTATGGGCAGTAGCGTTTGTGTCTCAGTTCTTTAGCAGAATAAATTTAAAGTGTAGGACAATAAAACAACTGAGAAAGTAAAATAGATTAAAAAAAATATAAAAACGTGATCTCTTTTTCTGTGTAATCTGACACAGATATATTTATAAAGGTTCATAAAATAGAAGGTAAAAAAAATAAATTAAAAAGTGACAAAAATTCAAATTCAGTTCCTGATTGTGTCATGGAAGCGTGTTGTATTTTCCAGTACTACGTTTTTTTCACATCGTTCATGTTCAGTATCAATTTCTGCTGTGAACTTTGTTTATATTGTAGAATTTAGAAGCAAGCTTTACTGTTAAAATCACCCAAATAATCAGGAAAGTGATTATATATAACACCTTAAAATATGGGAAGAAAAAGCAGAATATATTAGTCCTGTTTGTAAACTTCTATGTGTTCTTTTTAATGATAAATGCCTATTTGATTTGAATGTGATTCAGTCTGTGATAAATACGTCCATATTTTCTTCACACACAGCCCATTTCCCTTGAAAGTCAGGAAAGCAATGTAGTTTTCTCTAACAAGTACTTTTGTCTTGTGAAATCTCTTTTTCCAGATGAATGCACTCCAGACTAGTGAATTAGAGTCATATAAAATAAAATGGGCATTTGGTTTACAGGTGTTAACATTGCAGTTTTCACACTGTCTGAATAGAGGACGAAAGTATCTTCATTACAATATAACAAATAACTTAAGATTTTCAAATACTCATTCTGCTGAAACCCAACACAAAAAGGAAGGCATCCATGACAAAAAGATCGGTTTTCTTCTTCCTATTTGCAATATAATTGGATGTGTATGATTTTATCCTGTCAGGAATACAGTGGCCAGTTAATTCCTGAGTTCTGAACATTTCTGTTTGATACTCAAATTAAACTTTGGGTTTGGCTTTTCACAGTCTGGTTGAAAAGAATTTGAAAGATACTGAGAGTGTGTATTTGTGCAAAAAACCTGATTCAGTTTCCAGTTCGTATAGTTTTGTTATGTTTGTCAGGAACTGGACAACAAAGCAGTCTAATCAAAGAGGATCAACTGTGGGAATATAGAAATCATCAAGATGAGCTGTTTGGGATAGAGCAATCATATGTCGCATAATGAAGCTGCAGTTTAATTTAGATTTCCGAGAGTGGCTGAGGGGATTTCTAGGATAGAACCTGATTGTGTGGAGTACTCTACACAATCAGGCTTCTCAATTCCTATTTTTGAAAGCTTTTATAGGAAAAATGCTGGAAGCTCTTGCAATTTGTACCTCAGCTTGGCTTTTCAGGTGAAAATGCTGAAAATAATGTTAGGATTTATAGGAGGGGAATAATGGTAATAGGGTAATGCATGTGCCAGTAGTGGGGAGTCTGGAGGGAATTGTTTTTCTCTTCAGTAGTCTAATTAGTTGTTTTGGAAGGGAGATTCTTAAAAGTGGCATTACTTTTATTGGTCAGTTAAACTGTTGGCTGTAAAATTGAAGGATGTAATAGCAAACCTCATCTGTCAAATCCTAGTCCAGAATTTAATATCTCACAGGACTTGAGAGCTCTAGAAGAATCCTGCATATAATGTGAAACTAATGGTCTCTTATTGTTTGCTAGTTTATATTATTTTGCTAGTATTTTTTTATTTCTCTAAGCAAGTGAGCATTTAAAAACATGGTTGGAAAATCTTTTGTCCACCATTAAAAATACAAAGGTCTAGTAATAAGAAGGGTATGGTATTATTATGATAGTGATTGCTTGGTCTCTGCGATTTCTTTTCAAGCAAAGTTTGAGCTTGTGACATTTTCACATTTATAAAGTAAGAAGTACATTGTACAGATGCCAATAGAGTAACAGCCTTGGTAAAGAACTGGACAGCTATTTAAAGAGTATGTTGATTTCCTGTTTAGTAGAAGGTGCTCATACAGAGGAAAAGCTTAGGATTTCTGAGAGATCAGTTGCTTATACAGTTACTCTGAAATGTTGACAAACTTCTAAGGCAGTGTTTGCATTTGTCTGTAAACTGGAAACTGAATTTAAAGTAAGAAAAATCAACAGGGAAGAACCCTTTGAACTCCAAATGATGCCATCACAGTCACTATGAATTTATAACTTTGCAAACTGTGTGGTGGGAAAATACAGTGCAGTGTTTCCCACATGCTCTGCTGCTGCTGTGCCCATGGAGGGGGATGCTGCAATCAGAACTGGCTTTGTGTAGGGGCTCCAAATGTGTCAACTAAGTTGTGAGTAGTCATGTTGCTTTCCTTAGCTTTGCACAGTACTAAGTTACAACTTTATTGTCTTAAGTTCTAAAATGCTTAATAATGCGATATTTTTGTGTATGTGTACCTCACTAGGAAATGTCAGCAGCTCTTGTGCCGTCCTGAAGTCATGAGATCTCTGTAATGCAGAATAGACTAGAGTAAACCTAGATGAATCACAAGCTGAAGAACAAAAGGGATGACACTCATGTTAAAAAAAAATCTAAAAACCCAACCCCAAAATAAGTTAGAAATGTTTTGGCTGTGTCCTTGTGCAGAATACTTAAGTCCTGAGAAAGGAGCCTGCCATCTTCCACCGGCATCAGGAGCTAAAGCAATGTACATCACAATTTCTTTGTGTTACAGGAGTTTTATGGGATCATAAAGTTATTTCATAGAATAAGCAGCATAATGGAATATTACCTGAGAATGTGTTTCTCAAGTTTATGAGACACATAATATGTTTATCTGTTTCTCTAATGTTTCAAAGATCATTTGGGTTCTCATACGAAAGCTATTAGACTTTTGAAGTATTTTCTCATAAACTTTTTAATATTTCAACAATGGTCATTTCTTGTGAAATTTCTTGCCAAAACCTGGAGATGTCAGATGTTTGTATAACTAATCAAACTAAGAGGAAAAATAAGAAAGACAACTTTCTTCTATGAAAGAAACTATTCTGCCAATGATGTTTTTAGCCCAATTGATGAGATGTGTTGTATTTTGTTTTCAATATTCACTTTCCATCTTCACTGATGAAATGATTTTATTTTCCAGACAATGTTGTGGACAGTAGTGTTTGATTCTAGATGAGCACTCTCTTGAGTTCTTGGTTAGAAAAAAATTATTCCTTTTGAGGACATGGTCTAAAATAGAATTAATAGGTTGAAGTCTTGTTGAAACTGCTGAATTTTTCTTCCATGAGGAGGGAAGCTGCAATGACTTTAGAAGCAATAACTTTTTTTTTTTCCTCCATTTACCAATATAGTATTTAGATACAGTTGCTAATGATTTTTGTGTGTGTCAAAGACTATTTCAGTTCCTTTTTTTTTTTTGTTCACCTTGCTTTTTGAAAAGTGCGTGATTATCCTTGGCTCATTTTGAAACCCACTGTATTGCTCTTGCATAATAATAAATCATTTCTGGTCTCTGATTTTCAGTCAGCATTTGCAGGTTGCTGTTTGATATGCTTTACTGTATGTCCTTTTTTTAAGTATCATATAAAGTGACAGTGATAATAGGTTCTAAACAGGAATAAGTGGTAGCAAGCCGTTTTGAGAGATTTATATCACAATGGGAGATAGTCTGTACTAATCGTGGAGGACCAAACTTCAAATAATTTTGTTCACCAGGGGTGACTATTTATTTTCAGTCTTGTAGTGGCTGGAGCTATTTATCATTTTTAAAGTGTTTCCATCATAGTATTGGTCTCCTGCTGTTGATCCAACAGACCAAATTGAAGACCCCCTGTATATTTTGCATTTAAAGTGAATTCAGTAGGAAGGCACGGAATGGATTCTGTAGTCCATGAAAAATTGTATGTAAGTAGACTATATTCTTTTAAAAAGTAATCATCAAAATTAAAGAGAATCGAGCCTTTAAGATCTATAAAATTAAAGAAAAAAACGAGTTGCAGAATTTATGGAATACATCCTTGATGTACTTGAAATCACTCTTTGACATTTTTAACTAAAAATATTGAAGTTTTTTATGTCGTGTAAATCAATGCATTTTTACACACCACTAGATCATTCTGCGCTGAAAGCTCAGAGGTTTCTGAGACCAACTCTTATCAGTGCTCATGGGAATTCAATGAAGTTCCAAATACAAGGAGTAGTTCCTAATAGGATGTATCTTTTCCAGGTTGCAAATACAGTTGTCCTTTGTGCATCAAGAAGGAAATTCACTAGGGTACCCCGTGCAGATATAAAGGCACAATCATTTCAAATTAATTTAATGAAATATGTTTGTCCCAAATGCCATGTTAGTTGTTCAACCCATCTTTGTAGGGAGATACTCCTACTATTGCCTTTGCTTAAGAGAAGAATTGTAAATGTAATGTAAAAGAAACGTCAAGGTTTGTGTATGTATACACATTATACAACATATACAATTTTTGTGTGGCAAAACCATGGATCTGGGTAGTAAGTAATATATTGAGAATAGGAAATGCAACATAGACGTAACCACTTCAAGTTTTCAAAAAGAAGTCTCTCTTTTTGTAATTAGCAATTTAGTAATCTCAAATTTACACTTCATTGCTAATTGCAACAGTTCCACACACCAATAAGTCTACAAAAACATCACTTCTCAGGGATGTTAGATGCTGCTTGGCATTTCCTGAAAAAACTTCATTTAGTTCGAATGCATTTTACAAATAGTTCACCATAATTTTGTGAGCACTTTTACACATTCAACTTCACTGGCCACCAATTTAATACTTGAGGTTTTTCAGCTTCTTTTATTATTTCTACTAATAAAATAAGTAGGGTTATCTTTTCATAACATCATTTCTAGTGTTGTCATCCTGCTGCTGAGAGGTTGATGCTGATTTTCAGGGACTGCTGAGTTAACTTAC